CCAGCAGTCATATTCATTATCCGAGTTTAGGCCACCATTTCCAAATGAAAGCACCTTTTACTCTTCTACTCTTACACTGATATACCAGCAACTGCAGCTGCCATGGCTATCCTGAGTTTCTCCCAAGTCTGTGTTATAGTCTCTCTCCTGTGTTACAGACTGATTCAAGGCATGAGAACCCATTGATTCACTGAAAAGCAGAGTCTATGTGGCTGTTAGATCTTGGGCATCCAAAAAACAATTATTTAAAGATCAAGACAAAAAGTATAAAGAAAAAAATAGCAAAATATGAAAACAAAGGTAATGTATAAGGATTACTAGTCTCTCATTCATGAAGTCCAAACAGCATGATCTATTGCCACTTTATTTCCTCCGGAGAATGCTAGGGCTTTCTCCAACTGGAGAGTGCCAGGACTTTCTCCTATACTAGTGAAGGGCATTGTACCTAAGCTTATTTTCTGCTTAGATAAAAATTTGTTGGACAGATTTTTCTTAAACATTGTTGGGAAAATTTCTTTTGGGGCTGGGGATATGGCTCAAGTGGTAGCGCTCGCCTAGCATGTGTGCGGCCCGGGTTCGATCCTCAGCACCACATACAAACAAAGATGTTGTGTCAGCCAAAAACTTAAAAAAAAAAAAAATTAAAAAATTCTCTGTCTCTCTCACTCTCTTTTTTTAAAAAAAAAAAAAAAAGGAAAATTTCTTTTGGCTTTTTGGAGAACTTCCCCTGTTCTGCTGAGCCACTGCATGACCACCATCTATTACTTTTATTAATTCTCTTTCTACTCTGGAAACATTACTTTGGTTTTCACCTGGTCTACAGCTCTCTGAGTTGCCTATTGGCAGTTTCCCAGTCTTCTTACCTCCATTGGTCACTGCAGAACTGTTGTTTTAGTTCACTCTCAGCTGCTATGATATTGTCCCTTCCATGAGGCTGTTTCCTCCTTGATCTCATTTTTTAAAAAATAAAAAGATTCCTTGGTATTATCTAAGTAGACAACCATGTCACCTGGAAATAAAGAGATACATTTCTTTCCAATTTATATTTTTCTTGCTTTATTGTAGTGGCTAGAACAGTATTAGATTGTTAAAATTAGTATGAGCAGACATTCTTGCCTTCTCCCCAATGCTAGGGGAAACAAATTCAATCTTTTACTTTAGATGCTATTTATCAAGTTAATAAGTGTTTGATTATCAGCTTGTTCTTTATTGAGTTGAGGTCATTCCCTTTTTCTAACTTATTTTTTTTTCTTCAATCACAAATGGAGACTAGATCTTGTTAAACCCCTTTTCCGTGTCTATTTATATGATCCTATTATTTTCTTCTTTAGCTGTATTATACTGACTGATTTATATGTTGATATAGCAATTTGTATCTGGAATAAATACCACTGGTCTTGGTATATAATTCCTTTTTAGACATTGTTGAATTTACACGAACTAAGACTTCAAAAACTCCAGGCCCTGTGGTACTTCTGTTCCACCAGTTACTCTTCACAATCTGTCTTTGGCTCAAATTCTATAAAAGATGTTTCTAGTTCTTTCCTTCTGAAATATATTATATTATGGTCCCTCATGGTAGGCATTTTCTTTTGCTACCAAGAGCTAATAAACCTTTGTGTGATTATAGGTGTCTTCCTGGTGTTCTTTGGAGGGCATACTGTATCCCTGAAAACTTAAATTTCCAAGTACATCACCATACAAAATACATATATGAAGACTTGAATTTGGTGCCAACATACCTTATATACAAACAGAGATATGAAAAAATTGTGGTATATATGTGTATTAAGAATTGTAATGCAAAAAAAGTACATGTAGAATGGCATAAATTGACATGAACATATTTTATATACAGAGATACAAAAAATTGTGCTTTATATGTATAATAACGATTGTAATGCATTCCACTGTTGTTGTGTATTTAAAAAATAAATTAAAAAACCAAAAACACAAAAATATTTCATAATTAAAAATATGTTTTAAAAAACAAAACAAACAAAAAATTCCCAAGTACATGTATGTAGACCTCTGAAGTTCCTGGACTTAATTTTTAGAAATACTGTATTGATGGCAAAATAACTATTTTACCAGATTATTTATGAAATGCTAGTGGTTGTTATTCTTACTTAAAATTTTGAAAATAATTACAAGAGATATCTCAAGAGATTAGAAAAAATTTTATTCATCACTTCAAAGTAAATTATATATTACAAATTTTGGTCAAAATAATATTATTAAAGGTAATTTCAGTAGTACCACAAAGTATCTATACCTGAAGATAAAATCAAATAGTAAACAGGTAAGCATACCCTGAAATCTACTCATGTTTAAAAATTCCTATACATGTTTTATAGTTATGAATTGGAAGGAACACACAAAGAGCTACATGATTTTCAAATAACAAACACATGAAGTATCTCCATGCTCAGAATAAATCATTAGAAAGATATAAGATCTTTAATTTTTTAAAAGGCGTGTGAGTACCTTATTTTATACAACAAAATACTATAGTTCTAGTTCTCTTTATAGCCCCTTTTCAACACTTTTGTGGGAGATGCTTATGAGTATATGGAAGTTTGGTGGGCTAAAGGCTTTTTTTTTACCTACACTCCATTGGGTTCAGAAGTTACAGGAGTGGTGGGAATTCTAGGCTATATCTGAAAGTTCAGAAACAGATTTCTCATTAGAAAATTTGTACTTGCCTTTTTGATTTTTGTACAAAGGTATCACAAATGAATTGATCTGCTTCACTTATAAATTATAATTAAGATTCCAGTCTGATGGTGAGTAGCTTAAAATGGTATCTCATACCTTGCTGATTCTTGTCTAGTTGAGATAGAAACAAATTTTGGGACAGTGGATAGGAGTATTTTCAATTCTCTGACAATAAAAAGGCATAGATCATCTCCCCACTTCTGGTGGTTCTGGGAATTGAACCTAAAGCTGCATACATGCTCTAGCCAAGTGTTCTGTCACTGAGTTACACCCATATCACAACATAGATAAATAAATAAAACTAAGTATTCCAAATTCTTTCATTTTCCAAAATCCTCTGGGTAAAGCTAGAATATTGAAAAATGAGTTCAGCTCAGAGCAGACACTAAATCAAAGAACTACTTGGGATCAAGAAACTAATTTCATAAGAGATAGTATTAAGAGACAACAGCTTGATCAACAAAATGATAATACAAGTTCTATTTAGAAAAGAGTCAATGTGGTAATGTCTTTGAATTTCATAAAACTATACAATTTGACATGCAATGAGTGGATAAAATAATTTTTTTCTTAAGCAAATCACTTGGCACTTTATCCTGACCTACAATTTCTGTAATCCCATTTGAATAATTACAAAAAACAACATGGAATTAGGAAGTGGCACATTTCTTGAATATTTACTTAATCCTAGGTTTACACATTTCATTGACTCTTTCTAAAATCCCTTAGAATTAAGCACAATTTCCCCCAATTGACTCATGTAAACAGAGGCTGAGAGCCCCCCATCTCCACGCTATAAATCCCACATAATAAAATGGGATTCAAACTCCTACAGTGCTCAAAAGCTTGAGACTTTTATTTTTATTTTTTTATTTATTTATTTTAGTTTTTGACAGACCTTTATTTTATTTATATTTATTCAGTGCTGAGAATCGAACCCAGTGCCTCACACGTGCCTGGCAAGTGTGCTTCCACTGAGTCCCAGCCCCAGCCCACTTGTGGTCTTTTTTATACTAACATGTTACCTTCCATAATAGAGATGTTACAGGTGACCCAGCCAGCCCAGGTTTTAACAATAGAGGAAGAGGAGGAAAGTAAAGAAAGTCACTGTGACTTTTTTTTTTTTTTGATGTGATAATTGGTATGTTCTCTTTTCTCTTTTTAAAGAATTTAACCTTTACTTTATTTATTGTTTTTATGTGGTGCTAAGGATCAAATATAGTGCCTCACCTGTGCTAGGCAAAGTCTCTACCACTGAGCCACAACCCCAGCCTTGTTTTTTTTTTTTTTTTTAATTTGTTCTTTTTAGATATACATGGCAGTACAGTGTATTTTGACATAGCATGCATACATGGAACATAACTTATTCTAATTAGGATCCCATTCTTGTGGTTGTACACTATGTGGAGTTTCACTGGTTGTGTATTCACATATGAACATAGGAAAGTTAGGTCCAATTCATTCTACTGTCTTTCCTATGTCATTTCTTTAGAGAAATTCTTTCAGTAACTGGAGTTTTTCCATGCCTTTAAGCAGCTACAACTATGAATATGTGTTAGAAGGAGGGATGTTTTTGAGATAAGATTTCCCCTAGGGATTTACAACATTTAGGATGAAGAAGCTGTTTATTTTCTAGAAAGTGAAACTTGGGGAAACTTAGAAAAATTTGTAGCCTTAGGCTTGTGATATTAGATGACATTTTAGATTGGAGCTGAGAACTTATTCCAAGTGTATCTTTCAGATTCAACTTTGGTATCCAATCTATAAACCCCTGCTGAGATATGCAGTTTTCAGCCTATCCTATGTGCATTGAGGCTTTGTTGTTGTGTAAGAATAGAAATAATGATTTGGAGTCACAAATTTAAAAAGAAATGAGCACAGTCTATTGTTAACTACTTGCATTCATAAGAAATAATCACTATAAATAACCAAAAGCAGAAAGAAACTAGATACTCCAATTTCCTTTCCAGCCAAGCAGGGGGGAAAAAAAAAAAAGTCCTGAAAATTGCAATGTACTCTGTTTACATCTAACTATTGTTCTCTTTGAAGGGTAAAGATCTTTCAGGAAGAAAAGGGCTTGAGATAGAAAGATCCACATGAAAGGCTGCTTCATGAAGGGGAGGGACTCTTCAAAGAGGGGCACTTAGCAAATTGGTGCTGATGGTTCTCTGGGGAAATACAAGGGGGTAAAACATCAATGGAATACATCTTGAGCTCTGGAGAATCAGGTACCAAAGGCTGGTATTTCCAGGTATGAACAATTTTATTTTTGGGAGACAAGGTTTTTTTTTTTTTTTTTTTTTTTTTTTTTTTTTTCAGATAAAGAAGGTAGCCTAAAAATTTTGGACAACAAAGAAACATTCCTTCCCTAACCTCTTTGTCACCTTGGGGTTTCAACCGGAGCAAAAAGATATTAAGTGGGGAATGGCAAAAAACCCTGAAACTATATCATTGAACACTGGGTAACTCCTCTGTCAAGCATTTTGAAAGGGTCAAAGATGTTGTATGGGGATGTAAGTAATGAAAGAAACACTGGACTAGATGTCATGGCACTCTTGTGTTTTAGCTTCAGCTGTTTCTTGCTCAGAATATTTCTTATTTACTAGTTATAAAATAAGAGAGTTACAATGAATATTGCACTAAAGCTCCTTTTGGTTTTAAAGATTCAAGAGCAGGATGATTTTCACTTAAATGTTAAGTTATTTGGGGGGATGCTGGCATGTATTTTATTACCTAGTGTTCACTTTTCAGGGTTTGTAGCTAGGGAATCAGGGAAACCTGCATTCTCACTGCTCAGCTATTAGGAATACTCAATTTGGGGAACTTACTATTTTATTCCAGGGGCCAGGAATCAGTTGTTGGAGTAGATGGAGGATAAGGATAAATGCTCAAGCTTAGAGAAGGACTGAAAGGCTTTCTCAGTGGACTGATTGTCAACTTGCAACTCAGTTGACTGTTCTTGCTTCTCAGGATCGTTCTGGAAACATTCACAGTGTCTAAATACCAATAAGTTAATATAAGAGGTTTTCTTCGGGTAAACCAGGCAAACTGGAACTGAAAATGATCAGATTAGGAAAATGACTGCTGGAATACTTAAGTAAGGAAAGAAAAGTGATCTGATGAGATATTGATGAGGGATACACTTAACTCAGGGTCTCTGAACACTCAGCCAAGTTCAAATGTTAAGAAGCACAGGCTGAAGTAACGCTGAATCAGTATCAGAGGTAAGTTTAGCTCTATTCATATTCTGGGGAAAGGCTTTCATTTCTCCAAATTAGAATGGAGCCCAAGAGCTAAAGCCGTCTGTAAAACCAGAAGGAAGACAAGGTATCTCAGCAGCCTTGATCTATGTAAGGAAGAATATGGAATATTTACCAACTGGACTAAGATATCTTGTTTTTTCACATTTCCAAATCTCATACTCCTGAGACAGATACAAGAGAAACAACATGAACTTGTTGGGAAGGATTTCCTGGCAAACATTTGGAAACCCCAATTTAGGCAGGAATGTGAAGAATATGGAGTTCCAGATGCCAAGCACAAAGAAACAGCACTCTAAGTAGAGTGGATTTTACCCAAGAACACAATTATTATCTCTTATATTGTTTTGGGGTGTGAAAAATGAAATTAGAGTTGGATATTTAAAACTTGATTTATAGTCTATGGGCTGATTTTCTAACAAAGAGAAAGATGATTACGATAACCTATCATTTGGGTACTGCTGGTAATCTATAAAGATCCCTGAAAACCCGTTTATTTATGAAAAGACCCAATGATTTTACATTGAGAATGCATCCTAGGAGAGATAGAATGTTGGTTACCATCCATCAAAGAAAATCTTCATGTTGTTTTTCAAATTAAGACCTGTTATTCTTGTTACAGAAAAAAGTCTACCATGTCAGCCCAGAAGACAGTTTTAAGTAGCACAGATAAGATATGAGACTTAGCTTCTTTTCCCGAGGCTCACTGTACCTGCATTTCCCTTTATCACTCAAGAGAATACATCATTCAAGCGACTACTAGTAAAGAGATAGGGAAGTCATCCCAGCCCACTCAGGGGTATATCTTGAAATGGGCAGGGGAATGAAGGGTTCCAAAGTAGACGGTACTTGAGAAAGCAGGGAAGTCTGAGTTCTTGCCCCATAGATACTCCATAGATTGAACAATGAGAGAGAGAGACACAGCTTTATAAACAGTATAGTCCAGGATGGGGAATAGTTGTCAGGTTCATTATTTACCTTTCATTTTGGAGATCTGAAGCAGTTTTAGAAGAGGAAAAAGAACAGCTTTTTGCCACTTAAATTAGTTTATTGTGTATAAATTAAAGATAAGGAGCTGTGACTGATGAATAAATACAATGAAGGGTAAATTTAGAAAAATTAGAGGTATTTCTATTAATATCTTAGGGTCAACACTAATTTGGAAATGCAAGGGTTATAAACTGAGAAAATAGAAGATGTCCATGAATAGTTCATATTCTTACCTAAGACAGTGGTTGAGAGTGAAATAGGAAAGTGAGTTTTGTGAAATCACATCTCTTCAAAATCATGTCTGGTAGCATGGTCTTGCTTGAATAATATACCAACAAGTGCATCAAGGGTCAATGAAAATATTCTCACCATAGTTGAAAATTTAAGTATCACAAAAGCATCAGCTTTCTTCTCACTTCAAATATGAAAATAGTAAATATATGAAATTTACTTATCTTGACAAAACTCAAAATGAGCTCCCACCTTCCCTTATAGAATAATACCCTATGCTCTAAATCAATTTGCATCATATGGCTTGTCAAATGAGTCTGCAACAATCTTTTCCTGATGCTACCTAAAGTCTGATCACTTGAAAATTAACTCAGATGCCACATTCTTAAAGGTAGCACTATTATACAAGCTTCAACACTAAGAACAGGAATACATTGTTCTTTTTCATGAATATACCATTCATTAGCTTTGCCTGATAAGCTCATCTTCCAGTCCAAGAATTACTTAACATTTTAAAAAAATTATAGGATATATTATATTCTAATTCAGCTCTTCAAAAGGTGGAAAACTTCCATCAAAGGAAAACAGGGGTGCTTACCAAAGGGACAGGAACAATGCAGGCATTTGATCATTTGTCTCTGCTTCTCCACTGTAACCTAGTATTTTATCTGACACACAGAAACTAAGTGAATGCTGAATGAGATAATTACATCAGATGGCTCAAGGGTTAGGATTCTTTCAGTCTTAAAACTTGTCATGTTTTTCCTTTGGATCCTGCTTATGTTTGACAAATAGACATGTAGTCTTTTAAACAGTTACGAACATTTTTTTTTCAAGAAAAAGCTTCTCCTATTTCAACTTATTATTTCAGTACAACTGGATGACCTCATCCCACTCAGAAATAGGCCAGATTCCATTGGACTGCACATTGGGGGGAGAGTTCTTCCAGTCCCATATCTTTATAGGAATCTTCCAGGTCTTACCATAGTTGGCTTCAATGTATTCGATGGTTTCACAGGGCACATTGACCTTCATGTCTACAAATTCAGTCCAGCACAGTGTAAACTTGGGAAACAGGTATCTGTGGTAGAACAGAGGCATTGTGGGGAGGGGTTAGGCTCCCACAGTGGAAGGTCCAGCAGGAGAACCCAGTTACTAGTGCATTCTTGGTTGAAGGACAGCCCTTTCCGACTAAGCAGCTTTGGGAATAGAGAAAGTGGACATTTGATACTTTTAATTGTCCAACATTCCTTTCTCTTCAAATGCTAACACCACCCCAATTTTCCTCCCTTATTTCCAATTCATATGAGTAATAGCTAACCCATCCCCTAAGATTCAGAGACGGGTAAGAAAAATCTAACAGTAATTTATAATAATCAGTTCAGAGATGGAAATGTATCTAAGTTATACAAATGAAAGTCCTAGAATTTCTGTGGGATTACTAGGGAAAGAGGTGTCAAAGCAAAGTTACCAAAAGATAAAGAAAAATTGTTTTCTTTTCTTGTACAACCTCAATTTCCTAAGGATATAGAATAAGAATGACTCCAAGTTGCATTCCCAGGTTTTTCCTGTTGTTCCATATCTTCAAGATCCTACCTATAGTTTGTCTTTCTTACTTTTCCCTCAAATGCTAAAAAATATCTTTAAACTAGCCTAAGGAATGTTAGTTATAATGAATTTAACTATATCTATTGTAGAACTACAACAATTAGAAGGTAAGTTTCAGTAATTAAACCAGGACATGTTTCTAAAAGGCATTTTGGATCAAGTAGATTAAATCCAATGTATTGCATAGGAAAGCTAAAACTAGCAGGTCTGCTTGAAGTAAGCTGTGTGTGTGTGTGTGTGTGTGTGTGTGTGTGTGTGTGTACACATACACATATACCTCCCTATATTCGGTATTGTTTTTTTTCTTGAGAAATGCTGCTTCTCTTCACAACATAGAATGAACTTTCAGTAATGAAACCTGAAGTGGCAACAGAAGATATCACAGAAATTTAAAACTTTAGAGGATTAGCCAGGCATGGTGATATATGCCTATAATCTTAGTTACTAAGTAGGGTGAGGCAGGATTGCAAATTCAGTCAGTCTGGGCAACTTAGTTAGACCCTGTCTCAAAATAGAAGTTCAGTGGTAAAGAGCCTCTTGGGTTCAATTCCTTAGTACCATAAAATTAATTAAAAATAACATATTAGAGTTTAGATTAAATAACATTGTGGAAATAGGACCTGAGATGTTCTCCAAGAAAAGGTCATTTCTTATATATTCTGCCTTTGAATATCATGTTTTACCACCAAAGAAACATAAAGCCATACATAAAAATGAGACCAAACAAACTCAAAAGATAGCAACAAGTGCCTTCTACAAAAACCAATGGGTTGTGGCAGTTAAAGGGCTGTCCCAGCTGGCTCCTGTGAAAAGATAGCCACAGCAAATCTCATAGCTGAGAAAGAAACAAGATATAGCTTAGACCCACCAGCTGCTTGTCCCTATTTTATTCTGCATACTCCTATTCAAGGAATTGCTTATTTTGTCATCAGACATATCCACCCATCTTTAACTTCCACCCTCCCAAATCAAATGCTGGTCAGCAGAATAGCTACCTGTCCTGTCCTATCAAGTTGTCACACTGAAATTGAGTTCAGGCGAGATCATGGCCTGTCTAGTAAGTTAGTCCAGAACACTCCTCAAAGTATTAGCCTCTAAAGTCTCTCATCAAAGAGCTGGAAGAGAAAAATAACAGAACTAGAATAGACAGGATAGAAGAGAATGCTAAAGATTTTATGAAAGCCATGTTTTGGACAATGAAGGATTTGTGAGAAAACCCAAACCATTTAAATATATAAACAACGTAAAAATAACACAAAGACAATTTAACTAGAATGTGAATTTTTATTCCCAAACAGAAATATCTCTAAACTTTCTGTGGCTTCTTTTCCCCAATTATTTTTCAATCCATTCAGAAACAAACAAACAAAAACCCCATCTAGTTTCCTAAGAGAAGAGTAAAGACAAACAAACTATAAAATGGGAACACTCATCATAAAATAGGATTGTTGAGAGGAAGGGGGGTCAATGGCACAGAAGAGTACATGCCACCCACCCTGTCAGGTTACCAGTAAATAATGCCTGTGACTAAAGTACACCATGGGTCTGCAACATTACCTTGGGCTTTAAAGCTAGGATTAATTTTGGCTGATGAGTTTGTACACAAAGAGTAAGACATCATGGGTTTGAACACTGCATATTGTCTTTACTTTTTCTCTTTTCTTCTCAGTCTTGCTAGATGCCATTTATTTTACTAGTTTTAAAATTAAATTTTTAAGAATCAGCATTTGGAATTGTTGGTTGCTTCCTATTTCATTAATTTCTTCTTTTGATTTCCTTTTTTTCACTTTTCTCAAGCTGTCTGTATTGTTATTTAATTTTCTCCAAGTTCAAAGTTTGATTTTTTTAATGTATTTTTCACACTTAAGTGGTTTTAAGGCTATAAATTTAATTCTACCCCTTTAACTATAGCTTGTATATTTTAGTATACAGTACATTCATATCTTTGAGTCCTAAATATTTTATAACTTCTATTATAATTTCCTTTTTAATTCATTAATTATTAAGGAGTATGTTTAAAAGATTCCCTCAATTTAAAAAATTCCCACCAGACAATAACACATCAAGGAAAGCAAACTTCTGGCCAATATCCTTGATAAATATAAAAATCTTAATAAAATATTGGCAAACCACACAGAAAAACACATTAAAAGGATACTGCACCAAGATCAAGTGGTTCTCATACCAGTCATGCAAGGTTGGTTCAACATATGCAAATCAATGAATATAATTTACCACATAGAGTTATGGACAAGAATCACATGATTATCTCAATAGACGCAGAAAAAACATTTGACAAAGCCTAACGCCCATTATCTTTAAAACACGACAGAAGCTAAAGATAGAAGGAACTTACTTTAACATTATATTGGCTATATATGACAAACCCAAGGCCAACATCATACTGAACAGAGAAAAACTTAAAGTATTTCCTCTAAAAACAGGACCAAGAGAAGGATGCCCACTCTCACCACTCATATTCAACATACTCCTTGAAACTTCAGCCAATCAGGCAAGAGAAGGAAATTAAAGAAATACAAATAGGAAAGAACTTAGGAATAAAACCAGAGACCATGCGTCTAATAGAAGAAAAAGTAGGCCCTAATCTCTATCATGTGGGATTAGGTCCCAACTTCCTTAATAAGACTCCTGTGGCACAAGAATTTAAATCAAGAATCAATAAATGGGATAGACTCAAACTAAAAAGTTTCTTCTCCACAAAAGAAAAAATCTGTGAGGCGAATACAGAGCCTACATCTTGGGAGCAAATCTTTACCCCTCACACATCAGATACAGCACTAATCGCTAGGGTTTATAAAGAACTCAAAAAGCTAAACACCAATAAAAACAAATAACTCAATAAATAAGCCAAGGACCCGAACAGACACTTTTCAGATGATGATATACAATCAATCAACAAATACATGAAAAAATGTTCATCATTACTAGCAATCAGAGAAATGCATATCAAAATCACTCTAAGATTTCATCTCTCTCCAGTCAGAATGGCAGCTATTATGCATACAAACAACAATAAGTGTTGGTGAGGATGTGGGGGGAAAAGGTACACTCATACACTGCTGGTAAGACTGCAAATTGGTGCAGCCAATATGGAAAGCAGTATGGAGATTTCTTTGAAAATTGGGAATGGAACCACCATTTGGCCCAGCTATCCCTCACCTTGGTCTATACCCAAAGGTCTTAAAAACAGCATACTACAGGGACACAGCCACATCAATGTTTATAGCAGCACACTTCACAACAGCTAAACTGTGGAACCAACCTAGGTGCCCTTCAGTAGATGAATGGATAAAGAAAATGTGTTATACACAATGGAATAGTACTCAGCAATAAAAGAGAATAAAACCATGGCATTAGCAAGTAAATGGAGTTGGATTATAAAATGTTAAGTGAAATTAGCCAATCCCCAAAAACCAAATGTCAAATGTTTTCTTTGATATAAAGAGGCTGATTCATAGTGGGATAGGGAACAGGAGCATGGGAAGAATAGACGAACTCTATAGGGCAGAGGGATTGGAGGGGAAGGGAGAGGGTATGGGGTTATTAATGATGGTGGAATGTGATGATCATTATTATCCAAAGTACAGGTATAAAGACAAAAATTGGTGTGAATATACTGTGTATACAACCAGAAATATGAAAAACTGTGCTCTATGAGTATAATAAGAATTGAAATGCATTCCACTGTCATATATCAATAAAAAATAAAAAGAAATACAAATAGGAAAAAAAAGAGCTTAAAAATTACCCATTTGCTGATGATGTTGACATGATTAGACCCAAAAAAACTCCACCAGAAGATTGTAGAGCTGATAAACACATTAAATAAAGTAGAAGAACACAAGATAAACATACATAAAGCAACTGCTTTCCTATACTCTAATAATGAATCTGCTGAAAAAGAAATTAGGAAAACTATTCTCATTAATTTAATGAAGGATCTCTACATTGAAAACTATAGAACACTAAAGAAAGAAATTGAAGGCTTTAGAAGATGGAAAGACTCCCAAGTTCTTAGATAGGCAGAATTAGTATTGACAAAATGGCCATACTACCAAAAGTATTATACAGATTAAATGCAATCCTCATCAAAACATCAATGACATTCTGCACAGAACTAAAAAAAGCAGTACTAAAATTCATTTGGAAAAACAAGAGACCCAAAATAGCCAAAGCAATTCTGAGCAAAAAGAGTAATGCTGGAGATATCACAATACCAGATCTGAAATTATACTACAAGCTACAGTAACAGAAACAGCATAGTATTGACACCAAACAGACAGAAAGACCAATGAAATAGAAGATACAGAGACAAACCCCCATGAATTCCTTTATCTGATACTATACAAAGGTGCCAAAAACACATGTTGGAGAAAAAATAATCTCTTTATCGAATGTTGCCAGGAAAACTGGATATTCATATACAGAAGAATGAAGTTGGACCCGTTATCT